GTGATGGCAACTATATCATAGTTTTCCTGCTGCACAGTGGCTTCCAGCTCCTCCTGTTTGTTGCCCATGCTGCGTGCATTGATGTAGATGCACTTCAGTTGGGCTACTGATGCCACCACCTTTTTGGGGTGTGGAGAAGCCCTAACTCCTACGTGACCACTCTCGGGCACTTCCATGGTTTCTAACACATCCATAACCCTTGTGTGTCTGCTGCCGCATGGATCTCTACGTCCTACCTCCACTGAGATGGCAGATCAAAGGACCTCGCTAGCACACCATCCCTCAAACATTGGTGTGCTGCCCCCAGGCTTATCTCTAGCGAGCCTGGTTTCATCGCTTTCCCCCTTCAAATCTAGTGTAAAGCTCTTTCAATGAGCCCTGCTACCTCCTGTGCAAAGGTCCTTTTCCCCCTTCGAGACAGGTGTACCTCGTCTGTCACCAGCAGGCCTGGTATTGTGGAGACTGACCCATGATCAAAAAACCCAAAATTCTGCCAGTGACACCAGGCTCAGAGCCTTCTTTATGGAAGCATTTTTGACGCAGTGCGTAGGCCGACTTAACCTCGGCGACACCTCCAAGCTAGATGAACCATTGTCCTTGTTATTGTTTGGTTCCACTTGCAGAGCCTCATACCTTAGGCAAGGGCACCTGGGAAGGTGGGGCAGTCCCAGAGGAGACGTGCCTGCTGCCCCGGGCAGGAACTTGTTGCCATTTCCCCCTATCCCTTAAGTCACTGTGTTCAGCCAGGTGGAGAGAGGATAGGGAGTCCTCTGTATCGTGCGTCCTCTCGGGCCTGTCTCAGGGAAGGTAGGGTGCAGCTCCAGTGGTCTCTCTCTCTCTCGCTCTCCCTGATGCTCCTCAACCTACTCACCTCCTCCGGGAGCTCTGTCACTAAGCGGAGCAGTTCCTCTCCCTGGGCGCAGCTCCCACAGGTGTGCTCACGGCTGGCGTCCGGTACTGGCGTAAGAGCAGGGCACGCCCCGCAGCCTGACGCTTGGCTGGCAGCATGATCCTGCTGGAGCTCTGTCTGGGAAGGTGTGTCTGTCATGGTGGGTGCAGAGCTTAGAGAGGCCATGGCTTTCTGCCGGGTGGATACCATTGCTCCCTGGTCAAACTGGCAGAGCTTCAGCGCCCTTCCTGGACGCCCTTCTGCACAAACTGCAGTGCCAGCTGCTGCGCCACACTCTGTTTGCCTGCCCTGTTGGTGGCACTCCTGGTCGCTAGCACTCCCCAAGGGTTCTTTGCGGGGACGGGGACAGGGGACACGGCACGGGACACAGGACAGGGGGGTGGCCCTTGGCCACTGTTGATCCTGGCCCTGCCCAGGTCTTGTCAGCTGCTGTGGCAGGAGCTGCTGGCTCCTGGTTCTCTCTGCTCCCCCTGAGGCCCCCCTGGTTTGGGAAACCTCCCTGTGCACCGTGCTAGTGCCGCTCTGTGCTAGAGCCGCTCTGTTGCCTATCATGCTGCCCCTGGAGCTGCTTGCCTCAATGCTTTCTTTGCAGTGGGCTCTAAGAGGGTCAACAGATGGATGATATCACTCAATAGAATCAGCTTGCTTTTCACATAGCTAAATACTGCTTCATTGTTAGTTCTGCCTATAAAAAGAAATAATTTAAAACAGTAATCTTGGCAAAAGGCAGGAATTACTGATGCTGTTGTCACAAAATTTTTCCATAGGTAAAATACAATGTTATACAACACGATTATTGGCAAAATATGTATGTTAATTGTTTTGACAGGTATAGGGGATTCCTTCCCCCAAGAATTTCAGGAGTGGTTTCTAGCCAAAGAGCAGAATGTCGAGTAATACGAAAAGTTACTTTATAAACCTGTCTCAGCTTCAGCTGGGACTCTCTGCTCAGTTGCCACATCAATGGTACAACCAATTGCAATTCTCAGGCTGACCAAAGACATGCAATATGTCACTGGAAATTTGCAGTTAGAAGGATGAGACTTACTAGTGGTGTTACTGCGGAAGTACTTCTTTTGGCTAAGAATTTTCTGGTAACTTTGCAGTGCAGGGTTCTATAAAAGACTTTCCACTGCTTATGTTTGTTTCACTCTCTTATGTGAATGTTTGCATTTGCATCAGAATCCTGAGACATGGGCAAGAATCTTATTGCTAGCGCTTATCAGCATCACTACTACAGTGACTGGTCTTCTGAGGCTGCACAAAGAAATTGTACTCATTTGTTCTCTTTGTTACCCATGTTACCAGTCATCCCAATTCAGCATCTTTTTTCAGAGATATTTTCAGATTTTTATCTGACTTGGCCATCTGTAATCTCTAACACTTCAGACAGGAGAATACTCTAGAATTTCTCTTTTGGATTCGAAGGACATCCCAGAGTCTCGATCCCATTGCTTTAGAACTGAATTTAAAAAGATACTGACTTAGGGAGTTGTTTTTCCCCCTTCTCAGACCCCAAAGAGAACTTGCCTCTTTCCAGGATCTTTGTTATATGCCTTTCTGGTTCTCTCATCTGAAGGGTTAATAAATACATTTCTTGGGACTCCTCGAACTGAAGTGATTTTCAAGCTAAGAAGACATTGTAGATTTTGTTGGCCCTCCTGTAAATCAAGTAATTTTGTTATCAAGGTGTCCTGTCTCCTGTCTTACTTCCTTACCTACTTCCCCTTTCTGAAACTGGATGATTTCTGAAGAAGCTGACTCTTTACTTCTCCACCAGTCCTACAGTGTAAGAATCTTCTTGTTTAGTGATGTTTAAATTTGGTATTAACATCCCTAATTAAGAAATATTTGGCAGTATTGTGCTTTCTTCTCCTTTTTTGTAAAGTCCAGAAGTTGAAGACGAGGCTTATGGTTGCTGTTACTTTTGCTAGCAGAGTGGCTGTGATTTAGACCCTTATTGGCAGATCATCCTTACATCATTTAAAGATACAATCCATCTTAAAACTCAGACTGTATTTTCCTACCTCATTTCAGTGTTACTTAAACCAAGAGGTTAGCTTGCTTTGTGGTTTTGTTTGCTTGAAATTGGATACTACGTCAGTAGAAACAATCCCTGGGATATGTGCGTATTGAACTTGTTTTTGTCATTCCGCACTGGCAGGACAAGATTATTTAGGAAACAATCTGTTGGCATCTATTTTTGGAGTAATCCAAGAAGTTAACTATCTCAAAATAAAAAATTTCCCATGGGATAGCTGACTCTAAGGATATGTCATGCAGTGACTTTAAACAAAATTTAGTAATGTTCTGCAGTGATCAACTTAAGCTCTATCAGACATATCAGATATATAACAATTGAGATTTTAGTGCTGCCACAACCTCATATAATTTCAGCCTTACAGTCTCTCATAGCTTCAAAATCTTTCAGTCTGTGTTTAGTGGAGGCACTCTCAGTCCTCCTTCTATGTATCATGCTTCCTGAAGTCCACCACAGTGAGAGTATCCATATAGATATATAGATACCAGGTTGAACACGAGCCAGCAATGTGCCCTTGTGGCAAAGGCAGCAAATGGTATTCTGGGCTGTGTTAGACAAAGTATCAGCAGGTTGAGGGAGGTGATCCTTCCTCTATACTTGACAATGGTGAGGCCACACCTGAAACACTGTGTCCAGTTCTGGGCTCCCCAGTACAAGAGAGACATGGACATACTGGAGAGAGCCCAGCAAAGGGCCACAAAGATGATTAAGGGACTGGAACAGATGAGGAAAGACTAAGAGAGCTGGGACTGTTCCACCTAGGGAAGGGAAGGCTCAGGGGAACCTTATCAAGGTGTGCAAATACCTGAAGGGAGGGTGCAAAGCAGGGGGAGCCAGGCTCTTTTCAGTGGTGCCCAGTGACAGGACCAGAGGCAGCAGGCACAGATGGAAACACAGGAGGTTCCCTCTGAACATCAGGAAACACTTTTTTACTGTGAGGGTGACTGAGCACTGGCACAGGCTGCCCACCTGAGGTGGTGGAGTTTCCCTCCTTGGAGACATTCAGAAGGGTTGTGTGTAACTGGCTCTCGGTGACTATGTTTGAGCAGGGGGGTTGGACAAAATGACCTCCAGGGGTCCCTTTCAACCTCAACCATTCTGTGATTCTGTATTCTAAAGGGGTTTGTGTGTGTATCTTTTTAAACCTGTTTGGTATATGTTGTCTGTGTGTACATTCTCAATTTTCCTTCAGACTCCTTATCTTCAATATCTACATTTGGAGTAACTGAAGGAAAACTTGCCTTCCTTTTTATAGAAAACCGTGGGAGCTATACATATAAAAGACGGGTATTGAAATGTGATTCTACTTAGGCTTCCAAGATTTTGAACTTCCACTAGCTTTATTTGATGTCTCCTAGTTCTTGTACTGAAAGACACAGTGAGGTCCCTATCCACTTTCTCTCTACTGTTCGTTGTTTTGACGGAACACTATGCCCAGTCCCCTCAAGTCCCCTTTTCACTAAGGTGGATAGCCTTAGCCTCTTTTGTAGATGTTCAGATGAAACACGTCCTGTATTTCTGATTAATCTTGTTACTCTTCCCTAAAACTTTTCCAGTTATAGTGCCTCCTTTTGAGAGTAGGGCATGAGCACTGCACACAATATACAAGGTGCAGGCAAACCTCAAATGGCCCAAGTGTGGGTTTTTTCTCTTTGTTTTCTAATAATTTTTAACATTGGAATTGTTTTTGGTTTTTTGACTGCTGTTGGGCACCAAGTTGATGTTTGTGGGGGGCTATCTGTTGTAGGTATGAGATTTCTTTTGAATAGTTATAGTAAGTTCACTGTGTATGAAACAAGAATTGTTTTTCTTTTGTGGATTAAGTTACATAATTTATCTCCTACAGATGTCGTGCTTCATGTCTACATTTCCTCAAACCTTTCCTAATTTAAAAAAAAAAAAAAGTTAGTTTCACATTTGTCATCCTCCTGTCTTTGGGTCCAGTCAAAGTTTAAGTGAAATGTTAAATTCTACCATTAATACGGTAACTCTTTAACACTCAGCATGTTAAGTAATTACCAAATAATTGTTATTTTGTTTGTTTTACAGGAGAATATTAAAAAGTGAGCCACCTTATCCACAAGAAATGAGTGCACTGTCTAAAGATATAATTCAGCGTCTTTTGATGAAAGACCCCAAGAAGAGGCTAGGTTGTGGTCCCACTGATGCTGATGAAATCAAACAGCATCCCTTTTTCCAGGTAAAAGAAACAACAGAACTCCCCAGATAGCACTTACTCTACATTAGTGCCTTTGAAATCCAAGTCTAAAGAAATTCTGTTGGTTGTTAACAGAACAGCTTAGAGGTGTGTTAATTGCATGAATAATTGCATTGAATTTAATAAGAATATCCATGGGCTTATGTATATGGATTTTGTGCATGCTACAAGACGGGCATGATAGATTTTTAATACATTCTGTGTGTTCCTAAGTTACTTGAAGCAGCCAAAAGACAGACTACTCAAACCAGAAGGTTTAATGGAAGACACTTAAATTGTATGTTGTGTGTTGTTTTTTAAAAGAAAGTTTGCCACTAACATAATTAGTAAATTTTGAATATTGAGAAAATTCACCATTAGTGATAAATGCCTCTTCTGTATTTTCCTTTGCCTAATTAAATCTTTGGTTTTGTTTAGTAGATTTTAATTCTGTTCAGATTTCAGCATGTTAACATTTGGTTTCAAACAATGACGAAGATTGGATTTGCATACAACATTTGTACTGTTCCATCCATTGTGGTTAAAATTGTTTATGTGCTTTCTTTGAAAAAACTGAGTATGTATTTCTGGTGCTTCTGAAGTTAAATATATTTTTCATTAGTATAAATTTTGGAGTATTTAAAGTTGGTAGTATAAATTAAACCTTTCAAATAAATACTTTCAATGTAATTATCGTAACATTCAGCATGGGCAATATCTTGTCATTTTAACTTCTGAATTTCTGTTCGTCCCTTCTGTATTTCCTTGATCTTATAAGAGAGTGTGACAAAGTAGAGTTAAACTTCCTTTATTCACTGTTTGATTTGGAAGATATGTTTTTTTTCCTCATACAACACTTTCTAATCTTGACTTCAGTTTCACTCCTTTATAGTAATAGGGCCATTTTCTCATAACTACCATATCCATACTTTCTACTTCTAGCCATGCATCCATGCATTTAAGTAAGAATCCAGAGGCATTATGCTCTCAGCTCTCTGGAAGCTGAGATTAATAATTAAGCACAGAAACCAGCAATGAAAAGTTGATACTGCGTGCATGCACTATGGCTTACAAAATATAAATGTTGTTTCTTCTAAAATAGAGGAAGAAATTTAAGGGCTGTCATGCTAATTGTTTGGCTTATCTCCACTGTTAAATTTCTTTGTGTTGATTTTTTTTTTTGTTAAACTGGATTCTGTCTACTTACAAAGAAGTATGATACTTCTTGCCTTTGCCTAAGCAAATTAGTAGGGCATAATTTGAATGCTTTTCATCTGCCTGTGGAAAATAGCAAATGGAGTTAAGACTGTTTGTTTCTGAACAAGTCTCTCTTTCCAATACCTGTTTCTGTTAAATTTTCGTTTGATTCAAACTTATTTTCCTGGTTTGGTTTAGAATATGAATTGGGATGATTTAGCTGCCAAAAAAGTATCAGCTCCATTTAAACCGGTAATCAGAGATGAATTGGATGTCAGTAATTTTGCAGAAGAGTTTACAGAAATGGATCCGACATATTCTCCTGCAGCAACTCCTCAGACTTCAGAAAGAATATTTCAGGTATTTTAAGAATTCACATTAATTTTAAAAAAATCATTTATTGAAGAATTCCACATGTATAGCTAGTTTGTTCAGCAAGTGCAAAATGAGAAAGGTGGAAATAGTCCTACTGCAAACATAAAATTCCATGTCTCTCCATTCCCAGCTGAATATCCTACGTGCTGGACTAAAGTCAGTCTGTCCTTTATTGATTCTTCATACCTTACGAGTCTTGTCATCTTGACTCCATCAGCCTGGGCTACCAGCTTCGACAACAGCAAAGTAGTTTGCCCATGTCCACACTATGCTCTAGTTGAGGTATTCCTTTGGGAAGTGGGAGCTAACTGCAGGGTTGAAGTAGGTCTTCCATGTCCTTTAGGAGTGCTCTAATTACTAGACTACTATATACAGATCAGTAACAAAGCTTTCCTTACCATCTCCTCCATGCTATTAAAGAATGATCCCTTCTTGGACTGCCCAGTCTGGTTGTCAAATGGGCAGAAACAGCTCATGAGCAGCCTTGAACTTGGTACCAAAGCTGCAGAGGTGAACAGCAGTTCAGATTGCTTCCTCTCCTCCACCTCCTTGTGCCTTGTCATTTTTTATTGGCTGTTTTTGAGCAGCTTAGTGTACAGGAATATAGCATCATATTTTGGAATTTTAGATTTGTAGTGACTGTAGCAAGCAATTTATGTGTGTCATAATACAATCTGATTCATCCTGCAGTGGTAGTCACAGCTGTTCTTGTTACGATACCCAAACTGGGCACATCATTAATGTGAAGCTTATTTTGTTTTGCCATATAAAATGGTTTGATGCTTATATCACAACAGAAAAACTATTTCATGCCTTAACTTAAAGATGTTCTGGGAAGCTAGCTAGTTTGAAGTATAAGCCTTTATCACTATTGCAAAACAATTGAAGCTGAGCCAGATTTTTAGCATTATTTACCAGCACTTTTGTATTATTGTTTTATCTATAACTGTGGAGAATCGTGTAACTAATTCCAGGAAGTTACCTGTTCACATTGAACAGAGTAATAGCTACCTACCAATGAGCCAGTTACAGTTTCTGTATTATGTTACGAAAATTCTGATTTCTTTGAAAAATTCTTCTGAAACTTCTAATGTTTTGTATGTAGTATGATAGTTTGCATGCAACAATTCAAGCCATGCCCTTCTCTGATGTCTTAATTTCATAGGGATATTCTTTCGTTGCACCTTCTATTTTGTTTAAACGCAATGCAGCTACAGTAGATCCTCTTCAGTTTTATATGGGGGATGAGCGGCCTGGAACTACAACTATTGCCAGAAGTGCTATGATGAAGGTAATAATAATATAAAGAGCTGAATTAATTCGGTTAACTTGGAACTGCATATAACTTTCAAAGCAGCAATCACAAGCTAGGCTAATGACTATTTTGTGATCTGTATTCATTTATCTGTTCTCTGTAATGGCTCCTCAGATGATCCAAGCATATAATTTGCATGTGGTACAGTTAAGAAGTGATTGAAGTTTAATCAGAAAAATGAGATGATTGTCTAGTTTTTCAGAACACTGAAGTATAGTAGTAATAGTAATTTGACTCCTGATGGTTTGTATTCAGCCAACCATTGTTGATATTTTTGAAGCTACTTTAGTTATAACAGAAGTCATTCTATGATGTATTTGCCCAAAAGTATGTATAGTTGTGTGAAGCCTTATAAGAACACATGCTATTGTGATGTCTTCAAACGAGTGCATAGTTTTGTGGATAAATGTATGTACAGCCATCTTTGATCCTGTTTGTCTGAATATTTTGTATCTTAAGCTATTGTAGTAGTAATGATTTATTTAGTGATTATGTTTGTTTAACGTAACATAACATTTACTTTTGATTGTTAGAATAAAGTTTATGCATATTATTAAATAGAAGTTAAGATTATGTTTTATCAAAAAGAGAACTCTTTTACAATTTTAAATGTAGATGAAAAATTCTCACGAAACTTTACTCTTTGTCTTTGACTGTGTATACTAAAAGTATTCTGCAGAACTAAATACAGACAGTTTCCTAACAGGACTCTCCATTTTATCATCATTATGAACTGGATCTGAAAGAGAAACCATTGGGAGAAGGAAGTTTTTCCATTTGTCGAAAGTGCTTACACAAGAAAACTAGCCAAGAGTATGCAGTAAAAATAATTAGCAAAAGGTATAAATATTCTATAAGACAATAAAAATATTTTCTTTGCTTACTGTGACCCATGGATTAGAATAATGTTGGCTACATTTTTGGAAGTGGAAAGATAACTTTAAAATAATTTCCTATTTGAAGAATCTACAGAAACTTATAGTAACTTTATGACCTTTAAAAGATTCTGAGAGTCTTTTGAAACAAAATGTTATTCTTGTTGGGGAGGACACAAGAAGAAATGTAAAGAGTACTTTTCTGGTTCCTAGTTGTATTCTACCCTAATTTCCCCTGATTTTCCTCCTAACTAGAGTAAGGTATAAGGCCCTCCTATCTTTACACTTAAGTGAACTGAATGTAGGCTTATGCTAGCTCCCTTTCCTAAGCAGCCCAATTGGTTTCCTAGGACATTGCTTTTAAGAAGGAATTGTAGTGCGGGTTGCCTCAGATCTAATTATTTGTGTGCGTGTAAAATGCAATTAGACTATGGAGTTGTAAGTTGCACTTGTTTCCTGGATGTTCTGGAAAGAACACCACAATGGAGGCAGTTGACTTGCTTTGTTTGTGGGGACCATCTGGTCCTCTTCCAGAACAGATACCTCTGGCAGTTTCTGCCCAGAAAGAAATTAAGAAAAGGGATTCTTTAAGGGGGAGGTGGATTTTTAGCTTCATTTTGCAGTGTACATTAGTGAATGTGTCCCTGCTGTGTTGTAGAATGTTGGCAGGAAAGGGAAAGTGTAAATGTTCTGCTATCAGAATGCTAGCTCACAGCGATCTCTTCTCCAAGACATTTGGCTGTACCTCTGTTTTTCCAGACTCCAGAAGTAACTGTCAACCAGACTTAAGTGTTTCATCACATCCTTTTTGGATAGGATAAGTTCAAGAATAAGACACCTAAATATAGGTGTCTGAGTCAGTTTTCTAAGGTCTGCTACGATTAATTGAGGCCTACTCAAAACTATTAGTGAAGTCTACAGAGGGACTCGAATGACCAGGCACTAGCAGTCGGATTCAGTAACTTAAACATAGGCATCTATGTAGTGCCATTTTAGCATCTGTTGGTGTCCTCTCTGTCCTCCAGTTCCCATCAATCTTGTGACTCCTACCTTTATGTAGATGTCTTCATGGCTGATGTCTTCCAGGCTCTCCTATGCTTAGGCCACTGAATCCTACTCTAGGTATGTATTTTACGGTGAACTAGTTCACCCTGTAAGATCCATTAACTGGAATTTCACTTGTTGTAGTGAGACCTTAGACAAGTAGTATGCAGTAAACACCTACACTGGGTATTTTAATTTGGAAATCTCTGACTTGTGTCTACATTCAAAAAATTTTTTTTTCTGTGGTGCATGCAGAGCTGCAGATCAGTACTCCCATCTCATCTTAAGCTAATGGATTTTTTGTTTCTGGATAATGGTGAGCAAACTAGTATTGACTTTTCCAGTAGAACTAGACTTACAGGAATTATGTCCTTAAATAATATTACTCACAGGTTCTTTTGCTCTTTCTCCTTCATCTTGGTGGACCAGGCTAAATGAAGGTAAGAAGTGCTCTGTATACAGAGATTCTTTTAGGATTGCAGGCTGTGAGCAGCCTCAGACCATGTTTGTGTAGTATTTAGAGGTAGCAGTAAACCCACACTCTGAATGGCTGGACACAAACCAGCCCTGAGTAAGAAATTGTTAAACTGTAAATAATATTGCTCTGAGGACCACACTAATAACTCTTGCTGAAAGGAAAAGTATAATAGGTTTCTAGTAACTTCTTTGCCTCGAAATCAGACAGTCTTTCACTCCTACCCATCAAAGGTGCCAAAAAAGTGAATCCTACACCTAGGCAAACCTTTTCATGATATGTGAGGTGAAAGCTCAGACCAAGAGTTCCTCTGTGGTGTTGCTTTGTTAGTAGTGCTGGACCTGCCTCAATCCAACAATTTGAGGTTTATCTGTGTGTCTGAAGGCCAATGAAACAGTGGAGTCCTGTAAACCTGCTTGAGTTACTGTTGTAGAGCTTCCCATTTGTTTTTCATGATATCGTCTCTTTAAAATCTGAGGTGGTAACTATTTATAGAGGGGAAATACTCAGAAAAGTCCACGCACACGTTCCAAAGGTTTGTGTTCATCATACTGAATGTTTTTCATCTGTTTCCTAGGTCTGCCTTCTCCTGATAGAAGTTTAGGGGGGAAAGACTATCTGAGTCAGTTTTTTTAATTTCTTAAGGACCTGTATCACTTTCAGTTTAAACAGCAGCAGCAGCAGAGATGCAGGTGGAACAGCTTAGTTAACTTGTTGATTGTATGAAGCCTGCAGAAAACCAGAATTCTCTTGCACAGAATTCTTACCATGGTTCTGGTCCTAATTAGGAAAAAAAAAAAATGCAGCCAAAAATTAAGGACACCTGTTGTGAGAAGAGATTCTATCTGTGTTATCCATAAGGCCATTTGGTCAGTACAGGATTAGCCTTTCTTGGAGAGAGTTTTGGCAAAAATTTTCAGGCATTATTTGCCCAAAATAAATCAATGTATGTATTTAGTGGAAAACAAAATGTTCTGCTCTGTCCCCATTCATGTAGTTTTTATAATGTTCACCACGTTCACTTTTTTTGGCTATATATTTCAGTACTTGAAAGAGAATTTGTGCGATTATTTTTGCTCTGGAGCTAGTCTCTTCTTTTCCATTTCAGATTTTCACAATGGCCTGTTTAGGGGTTCATTTGTATAAAACAGTTCATGTATAGATGATGTTACTCTTTTTTCTAGTAGGATCTCATAGTTTCCATACAGCTTTGGAAGTACTTACCTCCTATAAGAATGGAAAAGGATTGGGCCAATAATTTGAGTCTTCGAGATAAAGCTGAACTAACAAATATTTGTAGGAACAGAGGTGAAGTCAAATTGCCCTGGACTGAGGGAAAGGTTTGTTTTAGATAAAAACTATTCTAATAGTATCATTTCAGCTTTCGCTGTAGCAAGGTGCAGTTGCATCAAAAATATTGTTTGATTTGGGTGTAGTTTTTTTAATGTCCTAACTTGCAAGGTTATGTGGACAGTTTTGCTCTTACTCTGAATATGCTTTTAATTGTGTTCAAGCGGTTGTAATATTAAAAAATCAGGATTGCAAGTGATTAAAAAAATAGGTGTAACACTTAGAATTTGCAGTTTGCTCCGTAAAATTGGTACAAAATGACTGCTCAATTTTTGCAGAATGGAAGCCAACACCCAGAGAGAAATAACAGCTCTGAAACTCTGCGAAGGACACCCGAATGTAGTGAAGTTACATGAAGTTTATCATGACCAGGTATTTTGAAGAAACTATAATCAGCACTTGCCAAACACATTGCCATGTGTTTTCCCAAGACCTTTTAGGAGTTAAGTGTACTGTTATTGTGGAGGTAACTTTTTTCCTAGGGCTTTTGTCTAGTCAGTATAGAAGATGAAGCAGAAGTTCTGCATTCAAGGGAACTTGCAGTTACTCTAGCAAATCAAGAAAGTATTTGGAAGAATTAGTCCTGGATTCTGTTTCTGGTTCTGTCCTTGCTCTACTTTGTTAATCATCATACAATATATTCATGGCCCAGTTTCCATATCTATGATACTGAGGTGCCTAATCACCTTCTCTTGGGTTGTCATGAATCTTAAAATAATATTTGTGAAATAATTTGGAAGTCTTGCATATGAAGATGACATATCTAGCATTTTTTTCTTACATATTAGTAACTTAATAGAGATAACCAAATAGCTTGCCAAATTACTAAATGTGAAAGTACAGCCTCTATTTGAAAATATATTGAGATTAGTTTAGGGTTTATTTAGAGACCTTAGTTGTCATTTTCCTTAGTGTAATGCAAGCTCCACAGCATGTAATAAGCCATAATTTGATCTAACTTGGAGGTTGGCCCTGGTTTGAGCTATGGGTTTGGACCAGATGTCCTGCAGAGATCCCTTCCAACCTAAACTACTCTGTGATTTCAGTCTATGATTTTGTTACAGAACATGGACTTTCTGCCTCCCCACATATCTTAGTCTATCCCCAGCATGCTGTTTATACTTTGTTACAGAACATGGACTTTCTGCCTCCCCACATATCTTAGTCTATCCCCAGCATGCTGTTTATACGAGGACCAGCAGAGTGCTCATGTGGAGCACTTCTAAAATGAGCTGAGAGGATGAAAAATCTGTACTGTAATCTTTAATGATAAGGAAGCCTTTTTCTTGCATTTATGTACAGTATAAGTACATGTGTGTAGAACAGGACACTTTTTTCACCTTCCTATGCTCAGGAATATCTAAAAAAAAAGTTCTTCAGATTGCTCTACAACTGAATAGGCTCCTCTCAACCGGCCAAACCATTGTATTCTCAGTTGCTCATGGTAGCTCCCAGGCATTATCTTCCAGATTACTTAGGCGTAACATCCTGAAGACCAGACCTGATAAAAATTTTGTAGTTTTGATATTTCTGTGGCTTGTCTTAAAAAAAAAAAGTTCCAATTTTTAACTTACTCGAGTATTAGTCTGATCAAATTCTACGTTAGTAATCCAACTGTAGAGCATTGGGTTGCAGTTTCTTTTGGTGAGCCCCAAGAAGTTTTCTACCAGAGAAAAGTCTCTTTATCCTTTCTGACTTTCCTGTCAGCTATTCCCAAGACATAAAGAAAATTTGCGGAGAGGGTATCTTAGAAGCACTACTAGCAATGTGACTAGTAGACACCTTGTTTGTTCTAAGAAGTGATACTGCTTTCTGTCTGCATAGCTCTGCTTCTGTTCCTTGATATCTAAATACTGTGCACCTTCTGTTCCTGACTGTTTCTTTGAATTTCATCTTTTGACCTCTTCCCAGAACGTTTCTTTTTCTTTGCTTGTGAATATTACTTTTGTTGCTGTCATTCAGGGGAAGGAAATGCTAGAAGCCATCGCATACCTACATCCATTGCCTTTTGAGAGTGCTAACTTCACTTTCCTGTCCTGAGAAGTCTGCTGCTTGTTTAATGGCAAGACATTTCAATTGCAGTTGATTGTGTGTTAATGTTGTCTTATAATCAAGGAGTCACTGCTTACTGATTGTCTTGAAATCCACCATCTAAAGAACCATTAATTTTAATTTTAAAAATACTCTCTAATGTTTGGGAAGATGTCTATTGTGATTCTAATGATAGAGTAGCTTTGGCTACTACTCTGTAGGGAATGGAATCAGAGGAAGTTCTAGATAATCTTTGACTTCACAGTAAAGTTTCAGGGTGCTTTGTAAAGGATTTGGTAACATTAAATGGGTAACTCCTTATGCATATTAATAGAAATGTATCTGTACATCAGAACAAGCTTAAACAGCAAAAGTCTAGTTTTTTCCAACTTTATTTGTTAGCCTAAAGAAAGGCATTTCATCTCCCTACAAATTTATCTGTTTACATGGCGGCGTTGCATTTTGGTAAATAAATATGGGTGGACATGGGGAAGACATCAACATTCTTCAATCTCAGTGAGATTGATGAGGAAAAATGTCATCTTGAGATGCAATTTGGTGGTGCTTGTTGGCCTTCTGAATTGCTCTGAGCAGCAGGTTTTTTTCTTCAAATTTTGAGAACCTATCGGAATAGCACCTAGCTCCTGAATGAATGTTGGTTTGTAAAGTTAAATTTCTAACATCCCATATTTTTCTTTATTGTTTCAGCTTCACACATTTCTAGTGATGGAATTGCTGAAGGGAGGAGAGTTGCTTGAACGTATTCAGAAAAAGAAACATTTCAGTGAGACTGAAGCCAGTCATATTATGCGCAGACTTGTTTCAGCGGTGAGCCATATGCATGACGTAGGAGTAGTCCATAGAGATCTGAAACCTGAGGTATAGTGACTTGCTTATATATGTTTAGACATTAAGTAATTAAATATCTGGAATGTGACATGTTTCTGTTCCTCCAGCTTTTTCTACTTTATTCTACTTTTACTTATTTTTGATAAAATGTTACCACTTTTACTTAGCAAATCCTGTAGATGTTTTTCTGTTCATAGGTCAAAGTAACTGTTAGGAAACATTTTTAATTTTGTAAGCAATTTACACTCTAACTTGTTCAAAAACATTCTTTGCCTATTTGGGGACAGTTTTTACTAGTGGTAAGTATATATTTATCATATGGAAACAGTTCACAAGCAGAGTTGGGTATTATGCCTGTACATTTCCACCTTTTGTTAGATCTTAATTCCCTCGGTAGGGCTTCTTTTGGAGGTAGCTGTGACACCCTTGCACTGTCTTCTGTCCCAGTTAAACACAAAATGAACCACAAACTAACACAGCCAACTAATAAAGATGTGTGATTTGAGTTCAGTGAGTTTAGTAGTTTCCCAAAAGAAACAATTATTTAATATATATTTTTCAAGAATTACTTGTTCTGGTATTTTTATTGTGTGGCAACATCTTGCCTTCTGGACAATTCAGTTTACTATGGTAAGGATGACCAATGGCTTTGTTCTGCTTCCTGGACTGAATATTTTGCTCCTTTTACTTTGCCAACAGTGGGCTTGGATATGTTTTAGTTTTAAAGAAAACTAGCCCAAGAATATGATGTTAATTCATCAGATAAGGATGTTATATTGTATTGGTGATTACAGTCATCATACCTCAGGAAATAGCTACTTCTTTTGTATCTGGAGTTTAAAATGATCCACCATTCCTACTGATGTTTCATCCTTTTGTAACATACCTTCTGTACATTACAAACTTACTTTGTTTATAGTAATTCCAATTCAACAGGTAAAGAAGTCTGCTAGGTGTTGGTATTAAACTGTTTTTGAAAATCAGTCCAAAATATATGTGTTTGAAAACGTCTCTGTACTGGAGTCTCTGTACTAAATAAACAGTGAAATAAAGAGGGGCTATTGTGAAATTCTAATGTCAGTTGAAAATGTGACTCTTGGAAAAAATTTCTCTGTTGACGTCATCAAGGAAAGAAAAAAGCTTTTGAAACAAGTCATTATTAAAAGGACAAAACCCAGAAATCCTTTCTCTCTTCCTATTCTCATCATTTTAGGCTTACTGCCATCTTGAATATAAAGGCCAGAATCTGTAAAGCAGAGCTTCAGCTGCATGGTAAATTAGGCAGTCTTCAATTCTACATGATGTTCAAGAACAGAAGTCTGGGAAGTCCAAGTAATGAAGGGTTAGCAAACAGCTTGCAGAATGCATTGCCTCCACAAAGTTGGACTTAACCAGCCTGTCTCCTTCCTGCTTGTTGTTTTGAAAGTTACTATTTTAGGTTCAGACATGAACTTAGTATGGGATATGCAGGCTTCCCAATATAGATACAGTTAGTGTACCTTTCTGTAAAAAGACATATAGGAGATTCTGTTGCTTTTCTGACAATTCCAGTCAGATTTGTTTGTTGTTCAACTTTGACATCTAATGTGATACTGATAAGTCTATTTTAAAGAATATGGCTGGTTACATGTCACTAAGGATGAGGCTTTTTTTAATTGCATGGACACAAAGACTCTTCTGTTTAAGCAATGGTAATTAGATCACATATATTGCTCTGCAAAATAGAGGAACAGTACTGGATAGGAAATAGAGAATTCACAGAAATAAAGAATTCGTGTAGCATATGTGAAAATTTGGAGCCTCTCAGTAAAGGATTTGAAGACTGTTTCTGTGAAGTGATCATTAATCTGTAAAGTGAGTTCTAAAGATCATAGAAAAAACATACCAAGGCAAAGATAATGCTGTTTATATAGCCTTCAAATCTATGTGGAATATAGCTTTAAGTGTGGGGTTTTGTGACATACGCTTTGTTTACCTAATCAACAAAGTAGTCTGAACCCAACTTAGGACATTTGGACTGTACCTTTCTGTACATAAGCAATTTCATTTCTGCCTTAGGAAAGGAGGTCTTTTTAAACCAATGTTGCTGCAGTTTTTTATTTACTTGTTGGCTGTATAACATCACCATGGCAAAAAGATGATTGTATTAATCACCTATCTTCATTGTATTAATATTTTTGCTGAAATTGGACTTCCTTCAGATTCATTCTGCACAACATTTTAATATGGAAAACTGACTTTTCTGATTGTGCATTAAGCTGTAACAGCAGTACAGAATGCAAAAAATACTGTTTTGTAGCAGCTATTCTCTTTTATCCATAATGAATGCTCTCAGATTCTCCTTATTGATCTGCTTGCAGTCTAGCAATCATTTTTCCCCTTCTTAATGAGTTTGCAATTAATTACTTTGTGTGGGTCATTCACCTTTTGTATTACAAAATTACATAGGGCTATAGGATTTCTAATATTGAGACTTTTTCTAGCATTGCATAGATTAAACAGCAAAGGCAACAGCAAAATTTTGATCTCCTCTCTTCTCTCAGAAGTTCAAGGGGGGGAGTAGAAATAATTTATAATTCATCTTGACCTTAACCAATTCTCCTAAGACTTAGCTTCACTCTTGTATCTTTCTTGACAAATGTCAATACTGAGGGAAAAGAAGAACAGATTATCTGAAATCTTTGGAACTGGTAACAACTTGTCTGTCTTCAAGTCTGAGATGCCACATTCCAGTCTGCAAAGCTGGAATTCTCAGGGACTACTGTATCAAAGTTTCTTTACCTTGGTGTTAGAGTAGGCCATTGGTTCGAGGTTGGACTGCTGTGTGACCTTCAGTGCTTGAATGTGGTTGGTCCCAGGTCTCTTCCAGAAAGCATGTCTATGCTGACTTTGAGATCCATGCCAGACAGCAGTCAGAACAACTACTGAGCTATTGGTGCACTTTCTAGTCTGCCATCCTTCACTTTCAAATTATTCTTTTGCATTACGCTGCTCATGGCAATGTGGCTTCAACATGTTACCACTTGAGGACCAAAGACTGTTCAGTGTTTGCATGCAACAGGAGTTCCACGCAACAAAGCTGTCATTTGCAACATGCCAGAAGGAACTAGAAGCTTAAGAAAATTTACTTTTGTTTGAGGAAGAAGACAATTCTTCATTTATGTTGATGTCTCTGCTTTTTTTCTTGTCAGCGTTCCCCAAGTTATTTCCCCCACTGTTCTCTGCTAAATACCCATTTTCATTAATAATCTCAGACAGAACTATCCTGACTTGCAGATATACAGGAGGCATATAAACACATCACATCTTCTTACATCCCAGAGTACTGTTATTTCTACCTTTCCATTTTTTTCCCCAGTGTCTCCCAGTTCCCCTTTTCTCTAGGTAATGGGGAGTTTTCTGTAGTAATAAATGTAGGGGAAAAAAAAAAAAACCAACCCACCCCTAAGTATTCTAACCAATTTTCTAACCAGTGCTGGTATTGATTTTGTCTTTGCTTTTCAGAATTTATTGTTTACAGATGAAACTGATAATTCAGAAATAAAAATAATTGATTTTGGCTTTGCTCGTTTAAAACCACCTGATAATCAGCCTCTTAAGACTCCATGCTTTACTCTTCATTATGCTGCCCCAGAGCTCTTGAATCACAATGGTTATGACGAATCTTGTGATCTGTGGAGTTTGGGGGTCATTTTGGTGAGTGATACAGGTTTTTAATTGTAACTTTATTGCATGTATTTATGTTTTGTTAAAATGCAAAGGATTTGACACAATTTCAGACTTGAATTGGGGAGATGCTGAATTCAAAGTGAGGTGAAAATACTGCTGCACAAATAATAGGTTCCAAAGACAGGTGTTTTCCAGGGGTGGAGATTTTTTTTTTCCTAAGCAGTAAATTAAATTCAACATTTCTGGGAATTGAAAAAATACTTGATACAGTCTGGTTCTTAGAGAGATATTCTTGTTAGGGAGATTTTACAGGCATCCATGTAATCTTCCTACAGTTTCAGTTCAGAGAATTAATTGGCCTGCATTCTGATTTACAGAAAATTAATTTCAATAGATAGAAACTGGGTAGAAATATCATTGTGTTTTGTTTATAGTTTCCTGAAACATCTGAATGTTTTTTCTAACAAGGACTCTAAAGAAGGTCGTGCATATTTTAAATTTTCTATAGCCCTGAAGTTATGCTAGTCAGCTTTATTGTATAGTGGTGATGCAAACAACAGCACTCCATATTTAGTAATAAGGTTGTCAGTAAATGTACTGTGTGTGTTAATACTACTTTTGTTCTCATGACAGTATACAATGCTGTCAGGACAGGTACCATTTCAGTCTCAAGACAAAAGTTTAACATGTACCAGTGCATTGGAAATTATGAAGAAAATTAAAAAGGGAGAATTTTCCTTTGAAGGAGAAGCTTGGAAAAATGTTTCTGCAGAGGCTAAAGAGTTAATTCAAGGTATGTATTCATGAATATTTCATGTACCTTATATTTTTATCTTGAAAGATAAAATTTAGAGAACTATACAATATCTGGATGCTGTGATCAGCATCAGAGTGCCTAACCTGACAGAGTAGTATCCACAGGTTGAGCTACTTATTGATGCCTAATACAAGTTACGGGTAAAGGTGGACACATCAGACTGGCATTACAAATTGCTTGTACACCTAGCAGAGAGCTTTCTAATGTAGTGAGATGCTGATAGAAGGTTAGCGGGGTTAGAAGTAACTGAAGACCTTCAGAAAAAATGAAGTCATTCTTTTAAAACATATTTAAAAGCAGAGTTTTTCTTTTATGTTATGTTTGCTTTTGTAAAAACACCAGGTTATGAGATAAATGTTTTAAAAGGTGAGCTTTTGCAGAAAATGAATGTATTACCATAATTTTTCCCTTGGGCTGTTTTTGTATGCATGTACCAAGACTACTGAGTATGTGTGAGCTGCTTTGTTCACATTTGCCATGCTTAGATTCCCCTTAAGCTTTTGAGCATCTAATGATGTTTGCAGCATGAGATAGACACCAATCTTAATTCTACTAAGATGGAGTTCTGAATTTCTGTAGAAGCAGGCTTGTAAGGAATTTTTCTGCCAAAAACGTAGGCATGTCCAGATTCAGACTTCAGTGGATCATGCAGAGAATCTGAGGCTTACTCTCTTGAAGTTCATCCTAGACAGGTTTTAAGTGAAGAAATAATTTGGTAGTTCTGAGTTCATGTGAAGAGAGATGTGAGTTATCAAACAGTTAACTAGCAGTGTCTTGCATTTGATGATTCTTCTGGAGATGAGTATTTATCTAGGATAAATACTGGTATACCTAGGATAAATATTGGTGTTACTTATGAAAGCAATGCATGAGGATTTTTAAAAAATAATTGCATTTTCTATTAAAAGAGGATAAATAGCTCACAACTTAAGAGAATGTAATATATTTCTATTAGGACTTCTAACAGTGGATCCAAACAAAAGAATTAAAATGTCCAGCCTAAGGTACAACGAATGGCTTCAGGATGGCAGCCAGCTGTCGTCCAACCCTCTAATGACTCCTGATAACTTAGGCTCTTCAGGAGCGGCGGTGCATACATATGTCAAAGCCACTTTTCATGTAAGTTCTGAGAAATCTTATGCCATGTGCTAAATTTTGTAATGTGTTAATCTAGATATTTGTATGTTTTCTCTTATTAAAAGTATGTTTTTGTCCTTATAATTCAGCGATTGCTTATAGCTGCAATTTCTTCCTCCATACCTAGCATGTATGATTGAGTGCAAGAAATTTATTCTTGCCTCATCATTCATATTTTCACTGATGACATTTATACTAATGGCATTTTGGGGACTGAGAGACAGCTGTTCATGAATAGCTATTATATATATTCTGTTTCTTAGCGAAATCTATTAAAAGATCTTAAAACTTTTATTAAAAAAACTGGAGAAACTTTCTATTTAACTTAAGTAACTGTTTGACTTTTTGTTCTTATGGTTATAAAATTGAGGTGAAATTCCTGGAACATATCTAGTTCATGTTTTTAATATCATGGATACTTTTTTTAATGGACTTGCTTGTCTACCATTGCATATTTAATAAAAATATTTGAACTGCAACTGTATTATACAAACATAGTGTTGATTCTCATGATGCCTTCTACAGAGAATAAATGGAAATTGAGATGCTTATTACCAAGAAGAGAAAAAGAAAGGAGTTATTACTTGGAGAGGCCCTGATGACGCAACATAATTTGGGCTGAAAGAAAAACTGTAATTTGACTAACTGTAGTTTCTGAAAATATAGTCTTAAATAGGTTTCAGGCTTAATAAAAATACTTCTAAATTAAAAAGAACAAGGAGGGGAAGATGCCAATTAATAATGTTATGTATTGGCTCTTAAATAAATGTAAGGGCTAGTAAAGTTATTATTACAGCTACAATAAGAATCAGTAGGGATCTGTCAAGAGATTACAGTTTATCTTACGACTTACCATAGAACATTCATAATAAGCCACAAGCCATAAAATGTCTTAAACCTCTTGAAAAGCTTAGAATTACCTTTTCTTTTTAAACAGGCCTTTAACAAGTACAAAAGGGAAGGTTTTTGTCTCCAGAATGTTGACAAGGCACCTCTTGCAAAGAGAAGGAAAATGAAAAAAACAAGTACAAGCACAGAGACACGTAGCAGCTCCAGTGAAAGTTCACATTCTTCTTCCTCTCATTCTCATGGTAAAACGACACCGACAAAGACACTGCAGCCAACAAACCCTACAGACAGCAATAACCCAGAAACCATCTTCCAGTTCTCTGACTGAAAAGCAGAGAATATCCTGTCTTGAAGATTTAAGTGGTTATAAACTTGGTAATACCTATACTGTCTTCTCCCACCCTTCCTCCCTGTGGCTTACAGGCTACAGGAATATGTCTGTCGCTTTAAAAATGTATTTCAGTCATACCTTTTTAGCTTTGTATTTCAATACATTTCTTTTTAGCATTAAGTTTGGTATCACTGGATATGGTATAATACTATTATACAACCAACATTGTATTCTCTTAGGGCTAAATTACTATTGTGCAGTCAAGCTCAAGGTAAGGAGCTGTGCTGCTCATGGTACAGCTTGGAGGAAGACTATTTCTCAGTGTCAGAATCTTCCTCCCAGTTTCTTCCCCACTGTTCAAAGAAAGGAAAGCTCTGTAAGACGTATTGAACTCTTGGATCTTCTGCTTTTACCCAGATCTGTGAAGAATGCCATAGAATTTGATTCTTCATGCATGTAAGGAATTATTGGTACAAGGCACCAAAGCAGTTTAGTACTTTAAGGCCTTTTAAATTTGTGGTTACATTCTATCCCATTTATTTGAATTTTAAGAGCAAAATGAAGTGTTATGGAACACTTTTTGAAAGTAGCTCCATATATCTTGTTCTAAACAACTGGCAATATAAGTCTTAGGTTGCGTTGGTTTTTTTTTTTAAATATATTTAATTTTTAAAAAAAACATCTAGAATAAAAGATGTCTGATAAGGTGAGGTGTCTAGTACTGTGATACAGTAATTTTTGTTTCTACTTTTTGAAGTTACTAACTTTAAAAATGTTTTACAGGTTCTAAAATGCAATGCTATAAGAGAAAGTGAAATTTCATATGGAATGCTTTGGAAGATGGTCACATGTTAAAATATATTTCAAGAATTAATTATAATTTATATTTTCTTTTTTTATTTACACAATAACTTTAAAATCCTAAGATTTTTTTAAAGATGCAAAAACTCCATTTCAACATTTGTTATTATAGGGTCCATACAAAATGTATACCAAGTTATTTGAATTTTGCATTGTGCAAATATGGCAGTTTAATAGTGACTGTAAAATACTAGAATATATGTTTTTCTTTTTTTGCACTTTATAACATCAAAAGGAGATGTTTTATAATAAAGTGCACTCAGATCTCCCTTCCTACAAGGTGCTGAGCACTGTTTTACTGGGTTGAATGACCTGAAATCCACCTTATTTGGTGGTTGTGGTCATTGTGAAGGAGAATTCTGTACTTTGCAGGAGTGAATCCCTGTATATTACCCACTGTTTTCATTCCTTACTTTAAACTGCAAAGCTCTTTCTATCTTGCTTTTACATTGTATATAACAAATACTAGACTTGGGCACCTTGTGTAGTGTAGATGTTAACAACTTATGCACTGGGAATACTAAAGGGAAATTATATTGAACACTGTGCTTCACAACTTGTTCACTGTGGTGTTCTACAGTGAAGTATTTCCTACTGTGATAGTATAGTATGTACATAACTGTTTGGAATCATAAATGTGACTTACAGAAACATCAGCATAAACTTTTAAATCAGCATATTTTATAAATTTATGGAGAGCTCTTTTATTGCTCTCATATTCTCAATGACTAGGGGTAACTTAAGTGCTAAAGATGACTCCAGTTTTGCAAATGCTTACATGTGTAAATTTTCACTGAAGTCAGAGAGACTCCTTGTGTAAAGTTAGTCATATGTCTAAATTTGTGTGATGGAGGACTAATTGACTAGGGAATTTTGTTAACAGCTTGCTGTATCTTAAAGTAACCTTAATCCAAACCCTATGCAAAAAAGGTTATAGGAATTGTTTATATCAGTTGTTTTATTTATAGAATTATATCAGATATCAGTATTGACAAATACAATACATCCATGTTTACAGGGATTGTGTGTATCAAAACAAGGCTTTGAAGCCCAACATGTTTGTTCTGTGTTTCTTTAATATTAATAATGGCATTCTGAGGTTTTGGAATTGCTCATGTGAAATAGTTTACTACTTTCTTGATGTGAATGTCAACAGTAATTGCAGCATTAATTTCAGGTTGATGTGAATATTGAGATTTGCACTGTTTATGTAGAAGTAGTATATTTAAAGATCAGTATATGTGCTAATAACACAACCAATTTTAAGTGGCCAATGTTAAAATATTGAAAAATAATTGTCAATGTAATATATTCAGGTTTGCTTTCTGAATGCTCTCTTGGAAGTAATCTCAATAGTGAACGTGGCTCATTTGTAAAAAAAATACTTTCCCTCTCCCCAATAAACTTGCTGTAAATACAACAAGCAATCCACCATTAATACTTGTGATGCAGACAGTACAAGTAAATTGGGAGACTGGAGAACAGGTTGCTTGTAAAGTTTGCATTTTGAGGAGTTCTTGGAATTTGTTGTCTTCAGGGTGAGGACAACAAAAAAGCAATTTTCCGTTTATTTCATTTAAAAGAAACTTTGGGATACCAGGTGGATTTTGAATATTGTGACCCAGCTGAAATAACTTCTGGAAGTTAGGAACACAGTACAGTTGTTTCCCTGTTGGGAAATTTAAACTGTTGCTTGACAAACTGATGAAACAAGAAAAAAGAATGCTTGCAGAAGATACTAAATGCTAGAGATAATGGCTGTATTGTCAGAGGTTTTCTTTCACCCAAGTTCTGAGAGACTGTTGTGAGACTAAAATTACTCAAATACATCACTTGTATGAAAGGCAACTTTTGTAGATGAATAAGTGTGTGTCCTCTTTGTGCTCTAAGAGTAGTTATTTAATAAAAATTCAGAAGCAGGGTAATACTTTTTGGTAGGGGTAAGTACATTTAGGTGTCACCTTGCATTTGCTTTGAACCAGTTACCTGGGGAAGCTGAAACGTTTATCACCTCTGACTTTCTGCTGCCTCCAGGTAACAGAGCTATTGAGGATGTGCATTTGACACTAAGCTGTCTGAATTTTTAGGTTAGAATCTTTACATAAACTGCTGATGTCCATTTACATTGATAAAACTGAGTTGCAAACTAGGCAGCTCAAGAGCAGGTTCACTTCTTGTTCAGGTGTCCCTGCAGAAGGCTGGTTACTCTTGGCAGAACAATATTGTCTCAGCTTAATCTGTTGCCCAGCCTGGCACTCTAGATCATATAAAGACCATGAGCCAAATTTTTCATATTTATACCACTATTTCAAATCTGAAGTATACAAGCCAATCTTTATTAGGACTGTTAGATACTTTATATTGCCTTGGTAAAGAGGTGTTAGACTGTAAATTATGCTTATACTCAGATTAAGTTTCCTTCACCGTGCTGCTATGTGTCAAGCAACATTGATGTCCAGTAATGATATCTCTCTACTGTCAGAAATGTAATGCAGTCAGCAATATTGTGGGCAGATTTGTTTGAAGAATCAAATTTCTTATCAGTAAAGATTTAAATAACTAGTGTGGTTATTAATCTAATCTTTAAAGTACTTGATATTCTGTAAAGCTATTTCTTTGTAATACTTTTAGAAACACAGCTATTAGTAATTAAGAGGTAATTCTGCTAAAGGATTTAGAGGAGTACAAAGCAAGTAACATGGTTTACTGTTCCTCTGGCTTAGTGAAATTTCTACACTTTCATATAAGGAAAAGCAGCTGAAATATTCATTGTTTCTTAATAGAAGGGTCAGTGCATTTGGCATGTGTATACTGCTTTGAAAAAAAATTTATTAAAATGCTTTATTAAACAGTTTTGGGGGATAACATAAAAATACAGTATTGCATCAGAATGGATTGAGGCTTCAGGTTGGCATTGCTGATGTACATATTTTCTCAGCCCTTTTCCATGGCTACTTTTCTGAACAAGATAATGATAACTGCACAGCCATGTTCCCTAGCACTCATCTAGGAACAGAATTCTTGGCAGAAAATACTGATAGAATGATGATGTATGTTTATTGGTTGTGATGAAGTGTTGCACAAGTGTCTTACTTTTTTAATATATGCATGTATTATGTGCATGTATGTAGATACATGCTGTATTGCATGTCTAGGCCTCAATTTAAAGTAATATGTCTTGTTTAAGAGAACCTGTACTTAAAAACGACTTCTTGACTCGCACAGATTCAGAGGACCAGACAAGGGGGCTACCACAGAAGAGGAAGAAGGTTATGGGAAGTCAGAGATGAGAGGCTTCCGGGAAGATGTTTTCAGGGGTAAATTTCTCCCCTCACTATCTCCATGTGTGTGTCATATTCACTGACACTCAATTGCAAGCTTTCTTGCCAGTTACCTAGCATAAACACATTTCCTAACTCTGCAGGTCTGTGAGTACGAGATGCACATGTGTATCTTTATATGACATTTTGGTCTTCAGTTGGAATTTTTTTGCTACTTGGAGTTCTTTGTTATTTCTCAAGTATTGTTCCAGGTGTTTTTACCAAGTTGGTGGTCTTCATTCTTTTCCCTCATATATGACAGTCTTTCTCAGCACCGGTTTTTACATTGCGAAACATGACATTGCCTTCCTTCAGTCGAGATAGTTGACTGAATATTCTGCATTGAGAGAACAGGAAATAACATGGCTGTTTCTGCTGTAAAGAGATAAAAGTGCTTTGATCTTTGTACCTGTGAGAAACACTTCTCAGTTTGCTCCTTTGACCCACAGGGCACTGGATTCTATAAAAAATAAGAAATGCAGAGCTGTTGGCTAGCTCTCGCCTGCCATCCCGCGTTTTTATATATGACTCATTCAATAGATTCTGGATGTTCAGAACACCTATGTAGAAAAGAAAACTGAGGATGATTCCTGTAGTCTGTACTAGTAAATAAAGTGATGCTTTCGATTACATAGACCAGCTGGAGCAGTTGTGTTTGTTGTGCACAGAAGCAGCAAGAGTGGAGAAATGTAAGACACCTGCAATAACGTAAATCTGAAGAAAACCTGTGTATTTTTACTGCCTTAGTGTTCTTTGTGATGGAAGTCTGCAGCTGCCTGGGAATCAGTGGTAAGTGTTTAGGTAGATGAGATAGTATGGGCTGGTCTGACACCTTACTGTCACCCACAGGGCCATTCCTGATCCTTTCTTCTGGCCACGTGGTCTACCCTTTTCTTGGTTCTGGTGTTTGTATCGTCTCTCAACCAGCAGAGATGGGGAAATGAAAGTGTTCTATTAACTTAGTTAAGGCATTTTGGTTAACACTGGATTAATTGATTTCATAGTTAATCCAACGTAAAAGTAGTAATGAAGCATTGCAAAACCTAATATGCTATAATACTATGATTTTTGAAAACTACTATTTTATTCAGAGGTAGAAAGGATTCCATACTATTCACACACAAAATCACTTTTTAAAATTGGCAGCCAATCTGGCTGTATTCACAAAATTCATGCAGAAGTCTGCTAACTTCCTTTGAAATACCAACAATAAAGCAGAGGAAAACAGAAATCTTCTTTAATTGCTCAGGAACTGCTCAAAAGCCTATCACAGATGAAACTGCAAACTGATAGCAAACTTGCTGCATTTTTCTTAATACAGAGATAATTTACTTATTGCAGCCTTTCAGTACTTAAAGGGGGCCTATAGGAAGGATGGGGACAATCTTTTTAGCAAGGCCTGTTGTGACAGGGCAAGGAATAATGGATTTAAACTAAAGAAGAATAGATTTAGGCTGGATATAAGGAAGACATTTTTTACAGTGAGGGTGGTGAAGCACTGGAACAGGTTGCCCAGAGAGGTAGTGGAGGCCCCATCCCTAGAAACCTCTCAAAGCTGTCCCTGCTCACTGCAGGGGGGGTGGGCTAGGTGACCTCTAAAGGTCCCTTCCAACCCAAAGCATTCTGTGATTCTGCTTTGTCAACAAATGAAGCTTCAAATCTTAAAATTGGCATCTTATTTATGTTCATTTGATTTTCCTTGGGTTTTTGTTGCAGCTTTTTGTTTGGAAATACGTAATTGTCTTGGTATGATTGTGACCCAAAGGTTTCTTTTCGTAAGTAAGAGAAAATCTAAGGATTTAGGCTAAGGCCTTGTGAATAACCAAAAGAAGTCTGCTGGAAAAGGTAATCCATCTTTAGCTAGTTTAGTTCAAAATATACATATATATTAGTGATATTTGCTGCTATAACTACATCTACCCAAGTACATTTTACATCAGTTATGGGTGTGATTTTGTGTGACATTCAGCTATGCTAAAAAAGCTTTCAAGTGTAAACTAGTCTTTGGAATTACAGCAAAGTGAGACGAAAGGGGGGGAAGTTGTATTTAAAGATGATGATGCAAAGGGGGAACAATGCTCAAGGTTTGTCTCCAAGTTACGTTGACAGAGGTGACTAGGCACTAGTATTGTCTGAAGGAGCTTACTCATTAAGAGTGGTATGTATCCTTTTTTTCCTTTAAAATCAATAAACAGTGGAGAAGAGAAACTAAATTAATTCACAAAAGCAGCTAGTACCTCAAAGCTTTTCTCAGTTGTCTCCTTAATGAATTCTCATCTTTTAAATATATAGCTCAGCTGTACGTAATAGTTATTCTGCTGAAGCTATGCCTACTTGAGGGAACAGGATCCCACTGTCTGGTGATGCGTTCATTGCACAGTGATTGTACAAATTAGAACTCAAGGTGCTATATCCCTGCTGCTTTAAAGTTCAAGTGTTAATACTATTCTACTTAATATGTGTTGCCATGTCAGTCCATCTGTACGCAGCCTTGGCATGTCACCTAGTTCAATTTTAAAGCTGTCAGATTAAAAGGAAAACTTGAGTTCAACTTCAACAGCAAAGTGAGAACAGGCCTTTAATCTTAACCTACATCTGGATTACAAAAT